ACAGTGGCCTTACAAATTGTCTAAATTAAAAAAAAATGGGAAGACTGAATGAGAGGGGAGGGGAAGGGAGGGGAGAAGAAAGGGGAGAAGAGAAGAGAAAAGAGAAAGGAGGAGAGGAGAGAAGGGAGAGGGAGGGGAAGATAAGAGAAGTGAAGTGAAAAGAGGAGAGGAGAGAAGAGAAGGGAGAAGGGAAGGGAAGGAAGAGAAGAGAGAAGAGAAAAGAAGAGAGAAAAGAGGAGAAAAGAGGAGAGAAGGGAGAGGGAGGGCAAGGGAAGAGAAGTGAAAAGAGAAGAGATGAGAAGAGAAGGGAGAAGGAAGGGAAGGGAAGGAAGAGAAGGGAAGAGAAGAGAAAAGAGGAGGAGAGAAGGGAGAGGGAGGGGAAGGGAAGGGAAGTGAAAAGAGGAGAGAAGAGAAGGGAGAAGGAAGGGAAGGAAGAGAAGGGAAGATGAGAGAAAAGAGGAGAGGAGAGAAGAGAAGGGAGAGGGAAGGGAAGGAAGAGAAGAGAGAAGAAGAAAAAGAAGAGAGAAAAGAGGAGAAAAGGAGAGAAGAGGAGAGAAGAGGAGAGAAGAGAAGGGAGAAGGAAGGGAAGGGAAGGAAGAGAAGGGAAGAGGAGAGAAAAGAGGAGAGAAGAGAAGGGAGAGGGAAGGTAAGGAAGAGAAGAGAGAAGAAGAGAAAAGAAGAGAGAAAAGAGGAGAAAAGGAGAGAAGAGGAGAGAAGAGAAGGGAGAAGAAAGGGAAGGGAAGGGAAGGAAGGGAAGGGAAGTGAAAAGAGGAGAGAAGAGAAGGGAGAAAGAAGGGAAGGAAGAGAAGGGAAGAGGAGAGAAAAGAGGAGAGGAGAGGAGAGAAGGGAGAGGGAAGGGAAGGAAGAGAAGAGAGAAGAAGAGAAAAGAAGAGAGAAAAGAGGAGAAGAGGAGAGAAGAGGAGAGAAGAGAAGGGAGAAGGAAGGGAAGGGAAGGAAGAGAAGGGAAGAGGAGAGAATAGAGGAGAGGAGAGGAGAGAAGGGAGGGGAAGGGAAGAGAAGAGAAGAGAAGAAGCGAAGGGGAGAGAATAGAACAGAATAGAATAGAATAGGAAAGAGAAGANCAGAATTATGCATTTAAGACAGTGGCCTTACAAATTGTCTAAATTAAAAAAAAAATGGGAAGACTGAATGAGAGGGGAGGGGAAGGGAGGGGAGAGGAGAAGAAAGGGGAGAAGAGAAGAGAAAAGAGGAAAGAGGAGAGGAGAGAAGGGAGAGGGAGGGGACGATAAGAGAAGTGAAGTAAAAGAGGAGAGTAGAGAAGAGAAGGGAGAGGGAAGGGAAGGAAGAGAAGAGAGAAGAAGAGAGAAGAGAAAAGAGGAGAGAAGAGGAGAGAAGAGGAGAGAAGGGAGAGGGAAGGGAAGGGAGGGGAAGAGAAGGGAAGAGGAGAGAAAAGAAGAGAAGAAAGGAGAGAAGGGAGAGGGAAGGGAAGAAAGAGAAGAGAGAAGAAGAGAAAAGAAGAGAAAAGAAGAGAAAAGAAGAGAGAAAAGAGGAGAAAAGAGGAGAGGAGGAGAGAAGGGAGAGGGAGGGGAAGGGAAGAGAAATGAAAAGAAAAGAGAAGAGAAGGGAGAAGGAAGGGAAGGGAGGGGAAGAGAAGGGAAAAAGGAGAGAAGAGAAGGGAGAGGGAAGGGAAGGAAGAGAAGAGAGAAGAAAAGAAAAGAAGAGAGAAAAGAGGAGAAAAGGAGAGAAGAGGAGAGAAGGGGAGGGAGAAGGAAGGGAAGGGAAGTGAAAAGAGAAGAGAAGGGAGAAGGAAGGGAAGGGAAGGAAGAGAAGGGAAGAGGAGAGAAAAGAGGAGAGAAGGGAGAGGGAAGGGAAGGAGGAGGGGAAGGGAAGAGAAGTGAAAAGAAAAGAGAAAAGAAGGGAGAAGGAAGGGAAGGAAGAGAAAGGAAGAGGAGAGAAAAGAGGATAGGAGAGGAGAGAAGGGAGAAGGAAGGGAGGGGAAGGAAGAGAAGAGAAGAGGAGAGAAAAGAGGAGAGTAGAGGAGAGAAGGGAGAGGGAGGGGAAGGGAAGAGAAGGAGTGAGAAGCAAAGGGGAGAGAATAGAACAGAATAGAATAGAATAGGAAAGAGAAGAGAATTCTTTATTGGCCAAGTATAATTGGTCCCAAGTAATTTGTCTAGAATGATAGTTATAAAATAAAACTTAAGACGACAATAATAATAAAAAGTAAGAACGCTTGCAAAACTTTCAAAGCCTAGGAAAACGAAAGCAGGAATGACGTAAAGGATCGAATACTCACTTCGTTTGGTTCATCACTTCCTTTTGTTTGATTTTCACCCAATACTCCGTTTTCATAATTACTGGTTTTCTGGACCCAAAGTTCCGATTTTTCTACCGTCAGCCTCAGTTGGTCGAGATCAGTTTTAATCTGCTTGTAACTGTCCACATCTTGGTTCGACACCAGCAGTTGGACCTGCGAAGGTGCAGAATTCGAACAAAGGCTTAATGGCTTCAAATGCAGAGATTTTCGCCCCAAAGTTCTGTTTATCCGAGGTGGCGCAGTGGTTAGGGTGCAGTACTGCAGGCCACTTCAGCTGACTGTTATCTGCAG